AGCAGGAATTTAAAGTTAAAACAATAATATGTTGCACATAACTATGCAGCTATAGGTATTCGTTGGACAGACAGGACTGCGTTTATTTTCTATTTATATATTCAAATGTATGGCATTCAGAATGCACTCCGCGAGTCTGCTTTTTGGTTTTAGATAGCAACTGAAAGTTAAAAGGAAAATAGACACTATTAAAATATTGTTAAGGTATTAATTAAACTAATATTTAAAAAAAAAACGTATAATTAATTGTTCACAGAGTAATTTGAGCATAGACTAAATATTTTAGTTTTAATTATATCTAGCAATCCGCTACAAATTCGTATGGGTAGATAATTAATTTTTTTTTTTTTAATAAAATAATATAAGATTTATTGCATATAAATATACAGTCATGGGCTTACAGAAATTTCAAAGTGAATTATATGTGTATAAAATGTAGCATTATGCCCAGCACATTAGTGTCTAAACTAGGCCTAGCCTGTATCTTAGACACTAATGCCTTCTATTAGATACATATTTTCGTGCAGTTTGCAAAATATAGCTTAAGTTCCTCACTGATATTGTAAAATCTATGATTGTAGCTTTTTATAGGTAAAAAAAAAATTATCCGTTAAAAAAAAATTTTGCTTTTTATAATATTAGTTGGATACCTAACAATCCCGTGTCATGATATTCGTTCACACTAATTTTTGAAACCGCTTGACTGAATTTATTGTAATTTTATATTTTGTTAAATACTATTTGTTTTGCTTCAACTTCAGAGATATTTAGAATAGTTTGTCCCGATGTATATAAGTTACATAGGTACCAACTTATATGTATTTAATTAAAAAAATATACAAACTGCAATTTTTTTTATATAATAATACCTACTCGTCTATAGTCCAAGAAAATGTAAAAATATGCCTCCCTGAAGTATTATTTTGTGTGATTTACTCTGTTTATAACTACATCTCTACCACGTCCAATGAATCTGATTTTCGGACGCGAACGCTTCGAAATTTGAAATATTCATATTTCTAATGAATATTCAAACGCCGCCATGTTTACATTCACGGCCGTTCCAATTTCAAATATTTGCATTTATTTATTTTGAATTGCGAACGATTCTTCTTTTTACCTACCTACTCTTTTATTATTTTTTACGCGCGCTTTTTGACTTTTGATTGACGGCCATATTTGCATTGTAAAATGTCAATACAACATCTTTTTATTTGTCTATTCAAATAAAGTGAATTTGAATGATTATAAAATAAATATCTCTACAAATGTTTACAATATTGTTTCCAACGAACCCTTTTTTATTTGAATAAAAAATGACAGGGATATTATAATAAATATTTGACCACAAATAAATAATATGTTTTTTGTTTTTATTAATATCTTTAGTATTGTTACTTATACTATTCTAAGGAATATTCTCTTTTTACGCGTCATGTTAGCATTGGAGATTTTTTATAACTCCCAATTTTTTAGGGGAATGTGTACAGTTTGACTAGTACAATAATCTATTACAAAAAATACTAATTATTTCTCTGTCTAAAAACACTAGGACACTTCCGTAATACGCGCGTCTTTCCATCAATTATTATTTCATGTGGCACGTCCCTGTAAATATGAAATGAAAGGGTCTGGCGTCAGCTGCCTCCGGCTGATTGTCGCCCTTCGCGCCGCGCCACCGCCACCGCCACCGGCCGCGCCGGTCAAACTGTTACACCCTCTTACTGTTATTTATATCTAAATAGCAATACTTAAGGAATAGACAAATACATTTTGCTTTATAAAAATAAAACCAGCAACAATAGACGATGTTGCGTTGACACGTTTAGGTCGATGTCACTTCGAATAAAAAACTGTTTGTATAACATTTATGTAACCAGGAGGTTGATTACAAACTTTTAGAAACTCGACAGTTTTAAGTCACATGTCAAGTTGGTTCAATTTATCTATAATAACTTTTTATGCAATTTAGAATGGCAAATAAATATTAATACCAATTTTCAGGGCAGCTTAATTTAATATGTGAAACTGTAAAGTTTTTGGCGCTCATAATAAGGTCAATTCATAGAACATGAACATTGTATATTATAAAGTAGGTACATTTTTTATTATGTCTATCGGTATGATTATTTTAGACAGAGGCAAAGTCTAAATAGTTGTACATCTGTTGATTATTATTTATTTTATTATGTTAACACTTCTATTGTTTACATTTCATCAATATAAAGCTAGTGTCGACTCTTAAATAACAAAATTATTACTTTTTGTGTGCATACATTAGATTAAAAGTAGATATTTAAATTTAGATACGGTTGTGTACCTGTTAGATAAAATATATTTATATATATTTGGTAAAAACCACGTAGGTTTTGCTTGGGTACATTCTTAATGTAATATAAGCCTGTTTAAATATTTCTTTTTACACTTTAGTTATATGGTAACAGAAAAAAGTTTATGTTATTTTTTATCACAGACCTACTTGTCTTCTATTTATAAAGTAGATTATTAGAGTCCCAGCGTCACGGTGCTACCTAGAAAGTGACTAGTTTAATTTTTTTTATTTATGTTAAAACTTTAATAGATATTTTCATGCGACTATAATTGTGTCAACAGTTATCTGTCATTCAATTCACTCACTAACGATTCAATTAGAGCCGTAAAAAATTTAACGTGCCGTAGAGAAATAAAAAGTTCCATATTTAAAAATTTGACAAATGATACAAATTCGAATTTTGAATCGAACACGCGTACATCGATCAATAACTGATTGGACACGGCCAATCGGGAATGTTATTTGTCATTCCATTTCCGAATGCGTAGAAAAATGACGTTACATTTTTTAGACACCTATTGGATATTTCCTGCCTGTGACTAGGTTCTCTTGAAGTTTTTTTTATGATATTAGAACAGTAAACTAACTAATGTAATGGATAAGTAGTAACCGTCGCCTATAAACATGAACAGCACCATGAACATTACAGAACGCTATATGTGATACCTATGGTATTATTATACGTTACTATTCCTAAGAACTACGGTATTGCCTCTGTAATTTCAAGGCCAACCATATTACCCTTCAAATCGGAACTCAACCATGCAAGCACAATTGTTTCACGGCAGAAAGACAATGGCGCTGTCATGACCGTAAAGGACGTTTTTTTCAATAGGTGATAATGTAACGGTTAGCCCGCGCTATCGGTATGCACTGGCGGGGCACCAGTGACAGATAATAGGTGGCGATGAAAGCAGATCAGTTAGCCTATCGTGACGAATTCCACTAGAATTAACCACGATGGTTTCCAGAGGGAACGACGTGGAGGTTGACCTAATCGTGTATTGCTAGCAATATGTTCATTAGACCCCATTACTAACAATCCCTTTTCCCCCCGTAAAGGACAGTTACCACTTTCCAGCAAATGGACCATCAGATTGTTGGCCATTCTAAATATCATAAACAAATCACACCACCCTGTCAACATTTGTTCTTAATTAAATTTAAAATGCGTTTAATTTCAAATAGACACTATTCCAATCATTGTCATTTCACGCCCGCACTAGTGACAGTTGTGATAAATTACCCAATGCAGCGACACCTAGTATTTGTCTATTGCAAAGAGTCTATTGTCACAGAGTACCAATAAGTTGGTACAATGACGTGTCATTTTCACATTTTGTATAACTCTATTAGATAGATTAAGCTGTTTATATTTCTTACAATTTAACTTCTGAACTAGACAGATATCTACTGGACATTTATCGTTTTTATATTTTTTAATCGACTTCAAAAAGGAGTTTCCGTATTCGATTATATTTTTTTTTTATGTTCGTTATCTCATTATTCTGTGTAAATGGATTTGGAAAATTCTTTTCTTTTTATCTAAAAGGTTTGACAGATTGGTCCCATAGAAATTTTATCAAAATTTTCCAACAGTAGTTGAGATCAAAATAACCAGTTTTGTCACAATGAAGTCGATTTTTTTTTTTTGGGAAACACAATTTTAATTCTTTTTCATTAAATGCTTATTAAATAAACTTGTTAATTGTAATTTTTAAAATAATATCTACTAATAAGTAGTTACTTTATGAATTTTACAATTTATTTTACCATTATTTCAATTTGTTAAATAATACTTACTTGTAAAACGAATGAATGAGTGAAAACTCATTCTGTTCCCTTCAAAGAAAGGTACGATTACATAATCTTTTGTTTGATTTAAACCTTTGAATTTATCATTTATGACTGTATCGATAAAAAAAAAAAAAAACAAAAATCATAGCCACCGGTCACACGTCACGTCTTTTGGCGCGCAGGCGAAGGAAACACCCGCGCCACGCCCCGCACCATCAATAAACTCTGTCAGCCACACAATAAGCTGTTACGCCGTATTTATCCCAGAAAACAGTTGGGATTTATCGTAAAAATATAGAAAAATGAGGAATCGATGTGTTGTAAAAAATATTAATGTGCTAATGCCCCTTTTTATTATTATTTTTTTTTGCACTGTGATGAATTTGCGAATTTGAGGCAATGAAATATGACATACGGTTTTAGCTACAATATAAGAATCGATAAAAAGGTTCTGGATAAAAATAACGCATTATTTATAGAACTGATAAATGTCGCAATTAATATTAAATACAAATTGATTTTATTATTATTGTGTAAGTTTTGTTTAGCGATCTTAGTAGTGTAACAGTTAATACACTGCTTTATTTGCTAAAGGTCGATGATTTGACTTTTTTTTAATTCATTTAAAACAAGAGAATCGTTTTAAACAAGTTGATCTCTGTCATTTATAAATATACTTATAAGGTATATTTGCGTATTGGTATTAAGTCACAGTTGAAGTCTTTAAATTATTAAATGATTCAAACACGAATTTAAAAAGTCTTAGAATTGAGGTTCGAGCCCTGATCACAGACAATTGTTCTACCGACTAAGCTATCGCCGCTTTATATTCCAAAATTGAATAGACTACTTACATTTTATATTGTTACAGGTCAAGATATGGTTTCAAAATCGGCGCATGAAATGGCGGAATTCAAAAGAGCGAGAGCTTCTTGCTTCAGGTGGTTCTAGAGAGCAAACCTTGCCAAACAAAAACAACCCGCATCCAGACCTATCCGACGCCGAAGCCGACAAACCTAAATTATCACCATTATCACCTATAAACGAGGAACAAAGCGAAGAATTAAAAAACAAAATGTACGCGTCAACTTCTAATGACAGTTACAGGTACGATGACAAAATGGCGACGCCTTTTGGCGGGAATTATTCAAATATGGACGAAGAAGATTTCGATAGCGATGCCAGCGCGTCCGATGAAGAGATTAATGTAACTTGACGTGCTTTTTAATTGCTAATATTATATGTAAAGAAACTTGTACAGAATTGTGTGTTTTAAGATGTAAGATGTACCTATCTACTTAGTATACTTAACTACAACATCCGTGATTTGAATAATCAATCAATGTAAATTAAAATAGCAAATAGGTTTATAAATAAAAAAATAAAATAGTAAGCACGTCAATGCTATCTTAACGTAGGATTGCGTACTAAATCAAATTATTCATACATTAATACGTATTATTCTTTTAAGATGTTTAATTCTCTCTAGAACTTTATCTTTGTGAGACGTTTATATCCAGATAAATATACCTATGTATTGTAACAAAACCGAAATACATTTATTTTCTATTGTATTTAGCATTCGTATATAGAAATATTCACAATTTACATTCCCAGCACCACACATGAAACTGCTTCGGATTAAAACAAAAAAAGAATCAAAATAAACAATAAAATAAAAATCAAAGCATTGAATAAATACTGCAAATATAAAACCTACGTACGTGTACAGACGTTGTATTTAAAAAAAAATTAAGAAAATTTCAGCATAAACCTTACTGGCTTCGCAGACAGGTCTATCCTTAATCTATGCTGACTGGTTATAAATAAGTATCTAATTTCATTAAAACCACTGTATTTTTTATTCCTTGTTCTTACATTTTCAGCACTGTCTTTTACATTTATTTGAGAATTATCTAAGATCTCTAAATTACTGCATATCTTGAATTTTGTAATATACCAACGATATTTAGATAACAAATCTTATGTGAGCACCTATCTGAGGTGTCCTTTTCAAATATGGAATAGAATCTCGAAAAAAAAAAGAACAAGTTTTTAATCAAAAAGTTAAGTTGAAGAAAGGGAAGACTTTACCCACCCATCTTTGGATTCAAGTAAAAGCTATTGAAATTCGAACTCCAATGATAATATTTTATAAAACTGATAAACTTTCTTCCAAGAAGAGCATGTTAGGTTGAAATGAAAAAGATTTGAATCCATCTTATAAACCGATTGCACGGTTTAGTATAAACATAAATTGTTTGTACAGTTTCTTAAATATTATCGTTGGATTAGATATTATTAAACGATACTTTTCCCATCACTACTTATTAAAGTAAATCTGTATTCTATTTTGTTCTTAATTTAAAATAAAGTAATTATTCTAGAGTACCTGTATCTACATTATAAGTATTTTTATTGATCGTACAGTACCTTTCAATATTTTTTTTTATTGTAATTAAACTAATTCTAAATTTAATTAAATAATTAATAGCAAATAATAAAGATCTGTATATTTATGCACAGAATACTCTTCATTTAAGAATTATCTAAAAATGTCAAGAATACTTATGTACTTACATCCTTATTCAAATTGTAATGATAGTTTGTGATAATGATTAATAAATTCTAATTCTAAATTAATAATGACAATTAATAATTATTTGTATATAAATAATAATTAATGTGTATATTTTAATATAAAGATATAATTATTAAATCGCCATTTGTTAAGGGGCTACTCCGAATAAGAAAATATAATTATAAATACACTCACGACTATAATCCTAGACGGAGTAGTCTAGAGGGTTGTGTACTAACTATTACAGTCGATAAATATTATTTTTAAGAAGCTGACCTCCTCTAGACACGGTACAAATGAATCTGTCGATAGTATCGTTTCGGCCAACGTTCATATGAAGAAGGAATAAGACAGCGCATGTCGCCATCTCATTCTATCTCATGGGCTCGCTAACAATAACGATTCTATGGATAGATTCGTTTGCCACTTGTCTAGTAGGGCTTGAATCACTTTATATTAAATTCCATAGATTTGTTTTTTTTTTATCGTCGTTATAACATGACTTCCTTAAACATTATTTAATCTACATCAATTATGTTATATTATAATATGTATCAAATAGAATCTAGATATAGTTATATGAAGCAAATTCAATCCAGGTACATTTATAGCTAAGAAAAATATCAAATTAATAACTTACAATTACACAATTCTTAAAAATTTATGCTTCTTTCCACTTAGGGTTCGCTGGAAGAGAATTCTTGTAGAATTAAGCTCGCCTTTGCATATTTGCTTTCCACTGTCATATTTCTTTACGTATTATTACTATGCACATTTAACTATAAATAAATAAAAAATAACAAGAAGCAATTCTTAGCAAGAACTGCTTTTTAAACAGTTTACATTAACATTTCATTCACCGTTAAATACTTATAAAAATTATAAATATTTTGTGATGTGTGTAAGTACGTTTACAAAGGTGCAATGATTCTTTGTTTTGTAGAAATTCCTTTCGTCCCAATTTATCTATTTCACATTCAGTTATAAACATAATTATTTATCCTTTAGCCTTAGCTTTAAATAAAAAAATTCAAACACTCGATTAGTTAGTAGTTGATTTTTATTTGCATCGTATTTATATGGTCTTAGCTCTCCCTTTTATTTAAATTCATTTGTATTTAATTTAAGATTCTATCCCACAAATAAACTGACTCTACAATAATAATAATATAATAATAAACAATAAAACGACCGATAAAATTTCTACGAGACTAATCTGTAAGTTAGAAAAAATAAAAAATAAATAATTCCCTTCAGTTAAAAAAAAAAAAATAGAATTTACCAAATCGGTTTAGGTACAACTGATGGAGTTATATGGCAACACAAACATAAAAAAAAAGTCAATCGAATTGAAAACCTCCTTCTTTTGAAGTTGTTTGAAAAGTTATAGTAAAAATTAGTAACATTTGCATCTTATTTATATTATTTCTCACCATATTATACAAATAAAAAAATTAATATGAACATTTTGAAGTCAAAATATACAATAATATCTAACGAAAAAGTATACCTACTAGATATGTTCATAGTAAAGCCATTAAAACATTATACACATATGTAAATATATATGTATATCTATATTTATTCTAATGCTATTTACCAATCTCTTTTATCTATCTTTAATTATATATCAACGATATTTGAATTTCGACTGTAATAGTTTATGAGAAAAAAAAAATTAAACATTGCACCATATTTTGTGTATATTAAGTGTATAGAGCAGTGATCTCAATAGTTAAGCTTGGTCGAGACCATAATACATAACTAAATTATTATAATAAATTTTATGTGGAAAATAAAACATTGTAAAAATATATCTTTTCATTTTATTTATAGGACCATAAGCTGAATGTCATTCACCGAACCATAATAAACCGAAATGTAGGGGGTGACGTCCACAGAAATCATTCCAATCGTTTTGTCGGTGAACGGTCTTATCCCAACCAGTCTGGAACAACATTTCAGACGGTTGAGATTCCGAGGCGGCTCCCTCCCGGGGAAGATGCAGAAAGCGGTGCTCTTAGATACTGCCCGCATTGTACGCCGGTTGCTCTCCCTAGACCTTGAACTCCGGCCGACTGCGCTTTTGCCGGGGGTTAGTTTGCCAACTCCTCTTCTTATGAGGAATAAGAATTTTTGGGAAAATTTAAATATAATAATAAATCTTTTTATTTCAAGTATATACCCATAAAGAGAGCTATGCCATAGACAATATAATACTATGCTAAGACTACATTTGATAGATCAAACTCATAACAATATAATTCTTCAAAAACTATAGACTAACAAGTCTATGGAAAAAATTTACCTGTGAAATGACCCAACGTGAATAACGCTTAGAAGGAAACTTTACCGGAGATTTTTTTACCGGACGGAGACTTTGTACAAAAGTCGATTGTTTGAGTACCTTTATCCCATTCGTGTTTCAACCGTGAAGCAGTTGTGTTTGCATGGCTGTGTTTCGGTTTGAAGGGTGGGATATGGCGTGAATTTACTGGGTACAGAGGAATAACACCTGAGTCCTCAGGAATGGCAACGCATGGGGGTATCATGGTGAAACAGTATACTCTGTTATGTCCATGGTACTGCTCATGTCTATACATAAACAGGAGACTTAGAACTCAGAAACATGAGAAATTGAGTTATCCAAGGGCACAGCTATATCTCTTTTCTATATCAATAAATAAGAAAATTCTTCCCAAAATTGGGGACTAGAAATAAATAAAAATACCAATAAAGCCGGCCACACACGCTGGGCGTGAAGCGAAGGTGCAAAAACCGTTATAAATAAAGTTAACGGGCCGCCCTGCGAATGACGTGTGGAGACACCTTTAAATTTACTTGTATGCGCCCGCCCATAATGGTTGCTTTATAAAACTCTTGGTTTATTATATTATTTTTAACTAGCGGCCCGTCCCGGCTTCGCACGGGTGGACATTTTTCAACGTTTAAAAAAAATGGTTATTGTGACATAACGATAATAGTTGGACATATAGTATCACAGAGTTTTTTGAAGCTATTGATATTTTCTTCAATATTGTAGAACATACTTTTGTTCTATCACCAATAGTTTCCACAGCGCACGCGACGAAATATATTTTATAGCATTTTTTTTTACACCTTGAGTTACGTTAATAAGTTTTAGTAAGGATCCCTAATCTTTTCTAGCAATAAATATAGTCTATATTGCTCAAGGTGAATGTAGTTTTCGAATGGTGAAAGAATTTTTGAAGTCGGCAAAGTAGTTTTTGAGTTTATTCATTACAAACATACATACACACAAAAATATAAATCTTTCCTCTTTATAATATTAGTGTAGATAAATTTTATTAACGCTTCCATATTTTATCTAGTAGGTACCTACTTATTGCAACCCTGTACTATTATTCCATGCGTATAGAAAGCTCACAGAAATTAAACCAAATAAACTCCATATTGTTACATTTGTAAATATAAAAACTATTACATTTTTAGTTCATTATAGACTTTCGCGTTGTTTACATATATTTTAAATATACATTCAGGACTTAACGCGATATAAAAGCCTTTACAAGTTATTGAAGTCGCTGGCGGAAGACCCAAAAAAAAAACGATTTTATAAATATAACTAAATTTAATTCTAAAATTAATTATTATAATAATAGGTATATATTTCAGATCGATGTGTAATAATCAGAATTAATATTTTAGTTATTTTTACACAAAACCGTAGTAACAGTAGGCAATTTTTTTTTATTTATTAGGCCCCTGAAAAAAAAAAGTACATTCCTTTTTCAAAAATAGAACAACAACAGACAATAATAACCTTCTCCACCAAAAAGGTGCGTAAGAGCCATGTTTAATCTTAAAAATGCTGATAGTTGTATGCCATGTTTCAAACAATATAATATATTGAGGGTGTGTCGTAATATTTGATAGTGTGTGTACTGTTAACATACAGATAAATTTATTTACTCGACTTTCAGATATTGTTAAACCACGGCGTGATAATGATAAATTATATCTAAAAAAACGTAGTACAAAACTTAAGATAGTATATTATGTACTATTTACCTGTAAAGATTTATAATAAAATCGCAAAATCTATAAAGGATGCACCGATTGATGTATTTAAAATATATTAAAAAGATTTTTTAAATGGAAACAATGTAAAAATTCTTTAATGATAAAATTTGACAAAACGTATATATTATTTATATATATATAAATCATTGTGACATCGTTCTTTTATTCTTGCCTGACAATTATTATTTATTTAAATGTATTTAAAATTGGAATGTGATGACGATTAAGTATAAAATGGACTTGATGTATAAGAGATCTCTGTCAGAGATTTGTATCCACAGGCTAAACTTGCTCACGAACGTTATTATTTTTTTTTTAATAAATAATGGAATATTATATGTATCTTACAAGTTGATAGTTTAAATATTAATAATCAGAATTAATATTTTAGTTATTTCTACATAAAACCGTGGTAACAGTTGGCTAATTTTTCATTTATTAGACGCCTGAAAAAAAAAACTACATTCCTTTTTCAAAAATAGAACAACAATAGAAGAGAAATAGACAATAATAATCTTTTCTACTAGACAGAAGTCACAGGACTCTGTCTAAAAAAAGGTTACTAAACGAAACGTTTTCCTTTTTTAAAATTTCCACAGATAAGTAATCTTCTTTTAGGCAGTAACTACCAACATTGCGAAATGAGATTTAAGAACCATAAATATTTTATGCTGCCATCAGACCGATGTGCGGCACGCGACACGTGTGCGGCACGCGCCGCCAAACGTCGCGTCGTGTCGGGAACATGTGTTGCCGACAAATTGCCCTTTGATCTG